CCCTCCTCGCCCTCCTCTCCTTGCCCCTCGCCCTCCCTCCTGCCCTCCTCTCCTTGCCCCTGCCCCTCCCTCCTTCTCCTCCTCCCCCTACCCCTCCTCCCTCTACCCCTCCCCCTACCTCTGCTACTCCTCCCCTTGCCCCTGCCCCTCCCTCTGCTCCTCTATCCCTTTCCTTGCTCATAGTCTCACAGGCTACTTTCACGGGAGGGGTACCATGTACTCTCCATCCCCTACTTTCGCTGGGCCCGCCTGCAGACATGGGAGGAGAGGATAGAGTATATCAGAGGGAGACTGAACGAGGCTGGCTGGAACCTCGAGCAGAACCGATTGTTGCAGTAGGAGAGCAGTTGTGATGTATGCTAGACCACAAACATGTACAGCCACCTTCTTGACAAGCTTCACTTATCCTCCTCCTCCTCCTGCCCCGTAGCTGCTGCTCTTCTCCTATGTTTCGACTGTGTCTAGGACGTCAGGGCTGTTGTCCACCTTCACGTCGACATGTCTTGTTACTTCTTGATCACCTTCTTTACCTGCGAAGAAACCTCAGCACAACAACAACAACAACAACAAGTACAAAGGAACCTTCAACCCCTGGATCCATGTTGAGCCTGACAGCCTTGCCTTGGAGATCTGAGAGAGATGGTAGAATGCTTTCTCACAGGTTCTGTTCATTCGTTCGAGGATTTCAGGAAGAGGTAAGTTGTTTTTGCTCGAGGAATTAGCCTCGTCCTGAGCCCTCCTGAGTTCCAAACCGTCGTCTGATGCTGCTGTGACTTCACATTGAGGTTCTTGTGAGCGACATGTTTTGTATAAGATTTTTTGTTCAAGATGGCCACCACGTTGGTTCCTGCGTTTGTGTATGCTGCTGTTCTCCTTGTCTTCCTGCCCCTGCTCCTGCTCCTGCTCCTGCTCCTGCTCCTGCTCCTGCTCCTTGTTCACATTCTGATCAACGAGCCCCTCCAAGCTGCAAAGCTCGTCCCACATTTCCTCGCTGATTCCTTCGTTTCCCCCCTCCGAAACTTGTTCTTGTGCATGGATGTCTAGATCTGGTCCTGTTATTGCTCTTCCTTTTCCTTTCGCTCCTGCTCCTGCTCCTTCTCCTGCTCCTGCTCCTGCTCCTTCTCCTGCTCCTGCTCCTTCTCCTGCTCCTGCTCCTGCTCCTGCTCCTGCTCCTGCTCCTGCTCCTGCTCCTGCTCCTGCTCCTGCTCCTGCTCCTGCTCCTGCTCCTGCTCCTGCTCCTGCACCTGCTCCTGCTCCTGCTCCTGCTTCCAACTGGGCCTGCATTTTCAACGGAAGAGTTTGTGGCCACTGACCACCCCACCCTTAGTTTGAAATTTCACATTTAGTACCCCTTCAAATTAAATGTAAATGACCAGTACTAATACGTGAAACAGACTACCTCCACCCCGCCTCTTCACCTAATCCAAGATTGGAATGCAGCATGGCTCGAGTGGGGGGAAATGCGAAACTATGGCGAGGAGGAGGAGAGGAGGAGGAGGAGGAGGAGGAGGAGGAGAGGACGATGAAACGATCAGTATCAAAGGAGGAGGAGAGAAGTCATAGAGAGCTGTAGTGTGAGAGGAGAAGAATTGCGGGCAGACGACGAGGTAGCGGGAACGCTGAGCAACGGGCACCACCTGGCTGGCAGGAGGATGGACGGTACTTCCAAGTAGAGGGCCGCGAGTACTTCCTTCCTCATCATGCACTTCATCACCATCCAAGTCTTCGTGGAGTACTGTGTGGCAAAGAGGACTGATTCTTACATCCCGAAACCCCATGACAAGAAACCGTTTGAAGGTATGAGCGGTTCCCTGTGCTTGCCCGTTCCTCGTGCGGCGATCTCTCTGAGTTGTGTCTGAGCAGGAGGCTCCCTACGAGGATCTCGTGACGAGTACGCGTCGAGGTTTCTTGCGCTGCAATCAGCGATCAGTAACCAAGACCTGTTCCCCCCCGAGCGAGTTGTTGTAGAGTGCAACCAGGCGTGTGAGGAGTTGCTGAGGGACGGACCCTTCGATGTAGACTCCGTGAGGCAGCTCGAGTTTGCTGTCAGCAAGGGGAAAGCTGGAGGGGACGCTCAGGAGGGCAGCGAGGCAGGACGGAAAGAGCCTTCAGGCTACCTGCATGGTGGGAGAGTTAAGAAGGAGGAGGGCGGGAGGAAGCCAAGGAGGACGTCCTGGGGGGCAGGGACTTCAACGACCTTGGGGTCCTTCCTCGACACTGGCATCCTTCACTCATCTGCCAACAGGCACTTCCCGCGGCTGGGTCCGATGACTCGATCGCCATGGCGGTTTGCTGACTATGAATGGTGGCGCAGGTGCTTTCGAGGTTTGGCTGAGACCCTGGGAGGGCTGCCCGCTCATCCTGGTCTCCTCGAAGCTGCTCACCCAGAAGTTCTCGAGGACGCAAGACATCTTGTCCAGCATCTGTATCGCGCTCCGCCGTGCGGTCCAGGGGCTCGAAATCGGCGCCAACCTCCGAAGCAGCAGGGGGGCGGTGGAAAGACGGAGCAAGGACGTGTTGAAGCCGAAGCCGAAGCCGAAGCAGGCAGAGGGTCAGACAGACAAGGAGGCTGAGCAGGTGAGGAGGTACCAACGCATCCATGGCGCCATGGCGCCTGGCTCGGATTTCCACCCTAAGTTCCCGCACATGGCTCGGGTCTTGTCGCCGAGATTGGAGTACGGGGATGAAGACGTTGTGCGAGGTCCGACGGAAGAGGCGGCAGACGGAGCCTCTCTAGACAAACACGTGCAGAGCTTCTGTCAGCCCCCGCTGTTCTGCTTCGTGAGGCTCCGTAGAAACGCGCATGCTGAAGCGGTGAGCGCGAGCCCCAGCATGCGGGATGAGGTAGACAGAGGTATGGAGGAGCTTTCGCGGTCTGTGGGTGCTCAGGTGGTGGTTGTGGAGTACGAAGAGAGCAAGGAAGCGGTTGCTTTCATCCTCCAAGTCTCCTCAGTGCTCGAGGCCCCATCGTCTCTGATCGCACGGCTGCAGCAGGAGGTGTTTGCGCAAGATCGTGACCTGAGCTCGAGCCCTCTCAAGCTTGTGGGGTGTAGAGTTGCTGAGTTCACGAGAGATACTCCTCCTCCCATGTTCATCACCATCAACTACACCCGCCATCAGCCTTTCGGCTCTGCTGTGGCGAGCAAGCTAACGGCCCTCCTGGAGGCCGTGACCAAGACCCCCTGCCCTGCCCTCCAAGTTTGCCATGAGGAGGAGAGGAGGGTTGGACCTGGGTTGCAGACATTTGTCCTAAAAGCGTCTCCGTTCCCAGCGCTGTTGCGGTACTCCCCTCCTCCTCCCCTACCGTGACTGACGTGCCTGCAATCCAAGGGGAAGGAGCATCGAGCCGTGGAGCGAGGAGGGGACGGCGCTGCCAGGCGCCGAGCTGGACAGCCTAGAGGTAGCAGAGAGGTCGATGAAGCACCTCAGCAGGCTGATGGCCATGTGCTGGGGAGACTCTTCGATCCCACTGCCTGATGATGTACTGGAGCTGCTGAGAAGAACCTACCACGTTTCCTCCTCCTCCGGCCAACCCCAGAGGGTACGACGACTCTCCTCTTGCTCCTGTCGCCCCCTGACTCGCTCCCCTAGTCTCCCCCTGGCTTGTTTCCAGCTGTGCTGCTCCGATGTGTCAGCACAGAGGAGGATTTCTCAGCTGAGGTACACCTTCGCCTCCTCCTCCTCCTCTCCCTGCTCTCCCTCCTCCTCCTCTCCCTCCCTTTCCCCCTTCTCCTCCTGTCTCTCCTCTCATCGTCTCCTCGTAGCGGGAGTACCTCTGCCGCCATGCCATCCCTGCCCTCCGGAGGGGCCTCGACAGCCTGGGCGTCTCCCTGCAGTTCGAGCTGATCAACCTGCCAGCTGCGCAGTCGTCGCAGAAACTTGAGGTCATGGTGGAGAAGGGTATGGGAGCACTGAGAAGGATTATCGACGAGGATGCGATGCTGGACTCCAGGGGCCTTGCTGCTGAAAGAATCCTCCTCCTCCTCCTGGGCAACCGCTCGTCTGTCGCCGTCCCCATCGCTGGGAAGGGAATGCGGCAGCTGGTTTCAAGAGGGCTGCTCCCCGACACGCTGCTGGAGTTCTTGCAAGGGAGGAGTGAAGGGGCTGCCGTCCCGCTCGCCAGGTTCTGCGCTGCGAGACGTTGGAGGAGGAGGTGACGGAGATGTGAGGCAGGTTGATGATGGAGTACTCCGACGGGAGGACCGACGTCGTGCGACGAGCTCTTGACAAGCTCCTCGTGTTGACCGACATCCTCGAAGATGCTGGGGATGCAGCGCATGTGCGGGATTTGTCACAATCCTTGAGGTCTTTCTCGGATGGCAACCCGGATGTCAGTCTCCAGCAGATCCTTCAGCTGGAAGAGAGCGTCTGCCGGTTGGCTGAAGAGAGCAGCAGTGCTCGTGGAGGAGGAGGAGGAGGAGGAGGCACTTCGTCTGTCTCTGTACTCGATCACTTGCTCGGTGCACGATGCTTGCAGACAAACTTTGGGAAGCTGAGGAATCGGCTCGAGAGCATCGTGGTTGTGATCGGCGCAGGACGAGCGACAATGGCGCAGTCAGGGCACGGAGAGCAGGCAGAGCTGCTAGAAGAATGCGCTGACGACGTTAAGTTGCTGCTGAAAAGTTTCGACAGCTGCGACAAATCGCCCGATCTCTTTGACAGAGTTCAGACTACAGCCATGAAGATTCATGAGACGACACAGCAGGTTGAAAGTTCGCTCGATCGCCGAGTTGCCCTACTGTTGGACAACTTGCTGAACGTTGAGGACCTTGTGAACTGCTGTCGGGAGGAGAGAGGTCAGTGGAGACAGGAGGGAAGAAGAGACAAGATGAAGATAAGGAAAGTAGTTGACGAGGATGCACAAGAAACCCTGCGTGCTCAGGTGTTGAGAGATGCTATCAGTTGCCTCGCCGACCTCAAGAACAACTTGGGCTGGACGAGCAGGTTGCAGGAGGCGAGGCGGATGATGATGAGAGAGGGGCTGTTGTGCAAGGCAAAGTTGAAACTCCACACGCTGCAGTCGCCATCAGACTTAACGGCACTGAGATCGTCTCTGAACGATTCGTTGAGCAGCTATGAGGACTCTGAGGGAGTTCTGGAGGTACTTGAAGTGCTTGCTGCATGTTCTCTAGCGCAAGATCGAGTGATCCTCCTCTTTCCAGGTGTTTGATACCTTGATGGGTGACGTGGCAAGGGAAGGAAAAGACAAGAATGCACATGGAGCCCGTCTGACGTCGACCGGAAGCGCTCAGTCTGCTGACGTCAGAAACATCTGCCAGCATCTGATCTCGCTCCACAACCTCCAGCACCTGCAACTCTCCTTCGGGGTCGGGCAGTCCCACTACGAGGCAGCGGCGATGAGGAGGAAGCAGCAGACTAGAGTGTTCGTAAGGGACGACAACTTCCTTGCTAGCCCGAACATCCCGGAGTCCGTCAAGAAGATCTTCGACGACTCGATGGTGCTGGAGGGAGACAGCGGGAGGGTCGGGAAGTTGTGTCAGTCCGTCAGCAGTCACGGGCATCTCAGGCATCAGCTCCTACACAGTCACGGGGGCTGGAGTGATCGTCTCCGCCTCAAGGTCTATGACCCTGGCTTCGGCTCCAGCGACGAGTTGGTGACTTCCTTCACCCTCGTGCCCAGCCAGGCTTTCTGCGGAGCAGGAGCAGGAGCAGGAGCAGGAGCAGGAGCAGGAGCAGGAGCAGGAGCAGGAGCAGGAGCAGGAGAAGGGGTAAAGGTCATACACCATGGCAGCTTCTCTTGCAGAGTCTTCCTCGGTCAGACTTTGATCGGCGAATGGCCGATGGAAGAGAGCGCGTCCTCTTCGCCCCAGGGCGATCCAGTGGTGAAGCTCCCAGAGCATGCGGAGGAGGTCGTGTGGTTGACAGCTCGGGGAGCCGTGGAGGAGGCAGTGGACGTAGCTGTCCACCATGACGGAAGGGCGCGGGTCACGATGCTGGACCAGGAGACTGGGAGGAGGCGATGGCTGGACGCGGAGGACGCGGAGCAAGTCACCGTCGAGCTCATCGCAATGCCCGAGTTGGAGAAGAGGCAGGGGAGGGACAAGGGACGAGGAAGGCCGGTGCGCGTCCTGCAGGAGAAGCTTCCCTTGCACTCCTTGATCGAGAGTGGCCATGGGAGCATGTGGCTGAAGAGCTGGATGGACTTGCATCCTACCGTCCTCGCTCCGTCTCGGCCCCCGTTGGACGAGGAAGCTCTCGGCCAGCTGCCGCAGGAGCAGCTGGTCGAGCAGTTTCTCAGTCGCTACTCTGCTGACTACGTGCTGCACGCCAACCCTAAGGCCTTCCACACCCTCGAGATCCGGAAGAGGGTAGGAAGGGACCGCCAGGTCGGCAGCAGCTGGGAGGAGGCCCAGCAGAGCTCCGACAGGCAGTGCAGCATGGAGGAGTGCTTGTCAAACCTGGAGCTGGTCGGGCTGATCCCCGACGTCTACTCGCGCGAGTTTGCGGTCAAAGTTTTCAAAACTGTCCGACGAGACTTCCTGGCTGACGCGTCCGAAGTCCTTCTGGACCCGGACGCTCTCTCTCGCTACCTCTCCTCCCTTGCCGCCAACTCCGATCGCCCTGCTCTCACCGCCGCCGTCCTCCTCTTTGACCAGCTCTTCTCCTCTGCTGCGAAAGAGTTTTCGAAAGCGAAGCTGCCGGCGCCTCCCAGCGGCGTCGAGCTCCTTGTGGGAAACCTGAAGCAAGAGCGGGACATCCAATCCTTCGCGCGAGCGCGGGAGGAGCAGATGAGGGAGATCGGCGTCTGCCTGCTGGCTGACGTGCAGGAGCAGCTGGTGAGGAAGGGGATGCTGATGGCGAGGGAGGAGGTGTTTCCCGACCTGTTCCTGCGCGAGTGGCTGCTCCATCGGCGCATGCAGGAGGAGGAGACTGGCAGGCTGCTCCAGCGCTTCCGAGCTCCCTACGTGCCGTCAGCTCTAGACGACCGGGAGGGAGGAAAAGGCGAGTTTGATCCCCTTGCCATGTGCCATCTGATGTGCTGCAGGACCCTCGGTCGTGACGCTCCTGGAGGGTCTCCTGGAGACAGCTCGGCTCTTCAGCATGGGAGACTCCTCATACCGGCACTCTTACGTCAACCTTGTGCTGGGGCAGGCGGGAGCTGGGAAATCCTCCCTGCTCGCTCAGTTGGCTCGGGAGTTCAAGTCCGGTCATATCTTCACCTCCCACAGCTCCTTTCCAGCTCGGGGTGACGCCGGACGCGCTCCTGCAGCTGGGCCCCTGGCCGGCGGCGATGCACCCGGGATGGAGGGGATGAGAGTTCAGAAGTCAAGGGTTGATATCTATGATGGGCTTTCCCCCGTTGGCAGCGGAAAGGGAGAGGAAGAGGAGGAGGAGAGGTTGGGGGAGGAGGAGGGACAGGAGGAGAGGAGGGGGGAGGATGAGGGACAGGAGGAGAGGAGGGGGGAGGATGAGGGAGGGGAGGAGCGAGGAGTAAGGGGAGGGATGGACTGGTTGCCGGTATGTGTGGACTGGCACAGGCAGCATGGACAGACCTATATGACGTATCTCAAAACTCTCACGGTCGAGCTTTCAGTCCAGGGCCTTGGGAGCTGCAGGGCGTTCGGGGGCAGGCAGCCGTCGGATGCTCAAGTGTTTGCAAAGTTACTGGGCACGATGCAGCAGATCATTGCGGAGAGGAGGAGGAAGGTTGTGCTGGTGCTCGACGGGTTGAGGTTCAACGAGTGCATCCACCTGTGCTCAGCCATCGAGGAGCACATGCGATCGCTCAGCAAGGAGGAGAGGGAGGGACTGTGGAGGAGGATCCTTCTCTTCATCTCCAGTGACCCTCCTGGTCCCGACGAGCAGCTGAGCTTCCTCTGGGCCGAGAGGTTCTCCACCGAGGACGCAGATACTGTGGAGGAGGAGCAGACGAGGGGCAGGGTGAGGAGGAACGCACTGATGCACATGCCGGAGCAGCTCTTTGTCGAGCATCTGCAGGAGCATGTGTACGCGGCTGCTCTGCGGATTGCGAGGACGGGGAGGATGCGGATCGGCGCGATGCCCCCGCTGCATGCCGAGGTGCGAGCACGCTCCTGCTCCTTATGTGGTGCATGGGAGGACATGACAGAGCTGGCAGGAGAAGAGAGCGATGCTAACGTCACACCTGCTTGCTAAGAGATCGTCTCCAACAAGCATCCTCAACCTCCTCGACCGTGTTGATGACGTGGAGGGGCTGCAGACTTTCCCGACCCCCCGGGCGATCGAGTTGTGGACGAGCGTTGCTCATGATTCGCTCCTCAACGGCGACGATCAAGTCAACGAGATCCTCCATAGCAGATGCTGTAATCCCTTAACCCCTCCACCTCCCCATCTCCCCCCGCTCCTCCTCCTCCCTTTTGTCCTCTCCTTGTTCTCCCTCTCCTGTTCGCATCCCCTCCTTTCTTCTCCTCCCTTTCTCACTCCCCCTCTCTCCCTCACTCTCCCTCCCCCTCTGTTCCTTCCCCCTCCTCCTCCTCCCTCTCTCCCTCCTCCTGTTTCCTCTCTCCCTCCTCCTCCTTCCTCTCCCCCTCCTCCTCCTTCCTCTTTCCCTCACTCTTCGCTCTGCTGATTGCTTCTCGCAGATTCTCTCGACTCTATCTTTCTTCACGTCATCGAGACCCTCGAGCGCAAGTTCGGCCTGCTGCTCGTCCAGGTGCGACAAGTACCTCCCGTGCTGCTGCTGCTGCTGCTCCAGCTCCTGCTTCTCTACCTTCTGCTCCTGCTCCTGCTCCTGCTCCTGCTCCTGCTCTTCCTCTAACGAACAAACCTGCCAGGATGTCGTTATTGGGCTGAGCAGGAGGGGAGGGGAGAGCGCAGACGGTCTGGTAGCTGACGTTACCAGCAAGTCGGAGCAGAGGAGTTTCCTTCCTCCAGAGAGGGAGAGCATCCTAGAGATCTTTGACCGGCTCGCTCCCTTCTGCGCCCCGAGCTCGTTCCCAGCTGAGGTGAGCGGGTCCATGGTCAGAAGCGTGCAGGTGAGCATGAGATGGCTGGCTGACTTGCTCAACCGAATCCTGCCCTCCTCCCTCCTGCACCCTCTTCTCCCTCCTTCCTCCTTGTTCTCCATATCCCCCTACCTCCTCTGCTCGCTTCTCTTCCTCCGCCTCCTCTCCCTTCATTTCCTCCTCCTTTGCCTCCTCCCCCAACTTTCCACCTCCCCTTCCATTCTCTCCTGCTGTCTTCTTCCTCCTTCGTCCCTCCTCTCTCTTTGTCTCCTCACTGTGTGATCAGCTGCAAGGCTCGTTGAAGACTCTTGCGTTCCAACGTTATCTGAGAGACGTGTGGCCCTTGTCGGAGGAGTTCTTGCAGGTAGCAGCTGCTCTCGCAGTATCCTATCCATCCTCTGCTCCTTCTGTCTCCTTCCCTTCTCCGCTGCCCTCCTTCCTCCTCCTCGCCCCTCCTCGGCTACCTGCATCCTCACCCTGACCTTTCCTCCTCCTCCTCCTCCTCCTCCTCCTCCTCATGTCAGTTCTCATTTCTCGCAGATGTGTGCTAGGCCGGTCGATCTTCTCCTGGACCAGGTCGAGCATAGCTGGGCTCGCATTCCGATACTTCCGGGCTCAGCAAGTTTTGCCGCAGGAGGAGGGGAGGGAGGGGGAGAGAGGAGGACTAGCAGGAGGGAGAGGAGGGAAGGAGAGGCGGGGAGGGGATGACGGGGAGAAGGACGTGAAGGAGTCTTCTAGGAGCTCAGACGTTCATAAACGTCTCAGTCGTTGACATTCAAATGTTCATGAGCAAGGGGAGGGAGGGAAGGAGGAAGGAGGGTACCAGGGGCGTCACCGCAGGATATCTCCAGCTATCAGCTCAGTTCCTTCTCATTCCTCAGGTCGTGCCCAGCATGCGGGTGTTGAGAGGTCTGGTACATCTTCTTCAGGTGTTTGCGGCCGTACAGAGAGGCAGCGACGAAAATGGTGAGGACCATGAGGAGTCGAGCGGCGCTGGTCAGGTCAAACTGCTGCACTAGCCTGGAGCTCAGGCTGCTAGTGGAGTTGCCCTTGCCCAGAACCTCGATGAGATTGCTGCAGCTGCTTCCGATGTAGATGTAGATCACCTGCAAGCTTGACAGTGAGGAGCAAGAGTAGCAGGAGCAGGAGGCAGTGGAGGGAGTTGGGGACCCCTGAGATAGGACAGGACAGGAAAGGACAGGAGGGGACAGGACAGAGGGAGGAGGAGCAGGGCAAGCAAACCCCACCTGCTTGAAGGGGATGGTGAGCGCGTTAGCCAGCACGAAGGCGACGGAGGAGATGGGGAGAGCAGCAGCAGCGATGTTGAGGACGGCGAAGGGGAACGGGATGATACGGAGGAGGCAGACGATCTTGAAGCCGTTGCCGCTCGAGGCCTCGACCATGGGGCGCCACCTGCTGTTGTGGGGGATGTAGCGGGCAAAGAAATCCTGAGAGCAGCATCTCCTGCAGAGGAGGAAGACCAAGGTGGACCCGGCGAGGCTGCCGAGGAAGGTAACCAGAATGATGGAGCCGAAGCCGAAGACGTAGCCTGCGAACATGAGCATGATGTTGTAGACGGGGATGGGCAGCGAAGTGACGAGAGCCATGGCGAAGATGATCGCTGGCCCAAGGTCCCCTGCCCTCCTGACCTCCTCCTCCATCCTCTTGCTCATACGATGGATGTTCTTGCCAAACGCGTTGAAGAGGAACGCGATCACGGCGGCGATGGCGCAGACGGCGATGGCGCGTCTCGTTAAAGACCATGACATGGCCTTGAAGGATCGGGGCGGTAGAGGATGGTGAACCAGGGCGACGTTGAGGAGAAAGAGCAGGAGGAGCAGGAGGAGCAGGAGGAGCAGGAGGAGCAGGAGGAGCAGGAGGAGCAGGAGGAGCAGGAGGAGCAGGAGGAGCAGGAGGAGCAGGAAGCAGTGGGCAGGAGGGCGAGTGAAGGAGGGCAGAAGACCTCACGCAAGCCTTCGGAGCAGCGAGAGAGAGAGAGAGAGAGAGAGAGAGAGAGAGAGGAGGAGGAGGAGGAGGGCGAGCAGGCGGAGATGGAGGAGGGGAAGAGGGGGGTAAGGATGCGACTGCCGGAAAAACGTTTTACTGAGGCTTCTTCCCGACTGGTCCTGACGATATGGCGGAGGAGGAGGAGGAGGAGGGAGGGGGAGGGGGAGGGGGAGAAGGACGAGGAAGAGGGCATCAGCAACAGGAGGAGGAGAAGGAGGCGACTGGTGTACTGCTCGGTCCTGCTTGTGGTCGCCATGGCCGTCATGATCGCATCTCGATCCTCATGGGATGGCGCGAAGGAGAGGTAGAGCGCATGACGAACGTCTCCAGCCGCTCACTGCCTGCGCAGATCCATGAAGCAAGCCGAGGAAGCCCTCCACGGCGTCGGGGTGCGGGAGGAAGGAGCATGGAGATCGGTCGACGAGCTTGTCGCGACTCTGGTCAAGGTCGAGAAGGAGAAGCAGGCGAGAGAAAGGGGTCGAGGTACCTGCAATGAAGACCAGAAACCGAGACAAGCTCCATCATCTTCGAAGGAGGGGCAAGAGCAGGAGCAGGAGCAGGAGCAGCAGCAGCAGCAGCAGCAGCAGGAGCAGCAGCAGGAGCAGCAGCAGCAGCAGCAGCAGCAGCAGCAGGAGCAGCAGGAGCAGCAGGAGCAGCAGCAGCAGGAAGAGCAACAGGAGGTGGAGGTGGAGGTGGAGGTGGAGGTGGAGGAGGAAGAGGACGAGGTCGAGTCGCAAGTCGACTCTCTCAAGTTCTGCAACGCTGTTGCTGCGGAACAAGTTCTCGTTCTCCTCGCTTGCCCTCCTCCTGCTGACCCCCCAGCAGGTTCAGTGCGTCATGAGACATGCTGGGGGGTGTCGAGGCTGCTGCCCCACTGACAAGCTTGCAAACTGCCTGCGACGGGTGGGAGCAAGCAAGGGGGGCGTTCACGTGAAGACCAGAACGAAGTGATGATGATGATGATGATGATGATGATGGAGATGATGGAGATGATGATGGGGATGATGATGGAGATGATGGAGATGATGGAGATGATGGAGATGATGGAGATGATGGAGATGATGGAGATGATGGAGATGATGGAGATGATGGAGATGATGGAGATGATGATGGAGATGATGATGGAGATGATGATGGAGATGATGATGGGGATGATGATGGAGATGATGATGATGATGATGATGGAGATGATGATGGAGATGATGATGGAACTGATGATGATGATGATGATGATGATGGTGATGATGATGGAGATGATGATGGTGATGGTGGTGGTGGTGGTGGTGATGATGATGGTTCAATCAATGTCGACAACACAATTTCCGTGACATGCTACAGGCAAGGAGACATGATTGTATCTCTCGCCGACTCCTTCGAGAGTTTAGCTCTTCTCTTGTACGGATCCTCTTCTTTCTGCTCCTCTCCTCTCC